GGGTGAATGCTGGATGATCAGAGGGACAGAACAAGCCATAGCTAACCTTGCCTCGCCAACTTCTCAGCCAATCCTGTTTCCTCAAGCAGGAAGTCTTCGAGTCCTTATTCGAATGGATCGCAGCTGAACTGCTCCTAAAAGCCTAAAAGCTTAAAAGCCTCTAGTTCCTGGTTCTCATGCCTTATATACCTTTCTGCTTCCTACCATCACTTGCTGGGATTAAAGGCATGTGTCTTTGCCAAGCAGGACATGAGATTTCAAGTCCTTGGATTAAATGTGTGTGCCCCCATGTCTGGCTCTGTTTCCAGTGTGGCCTTGAAGTCACAGAGATCCAGATGGTTCTCTGCCTCCCCAGTGATAGGATTAAAGATGTATGTGCCACCATTTTCTGGCCTCTATGTCTATCTAGTGGCTGTTATGTTCTCTGACCCCAGATAAGTTTATTAGGGTGCACACTATATTGGGGGACATAATATCATCGCAGTTTGGGTGCCTAGATCCAGGGTATCCTCCTGTTCTTCTTACTAGTATGGGCTATACCTGTTCTTATGGAGTCTGTTCTTCCAACTGGTATGTGTTGTGCCTGTGCTTATGGAGTCTGCTGTAGTTTCAGGGGAGGGCTGGCCATGGGAAGGATCACGAGGTGAGTGGGATTGGGCAGAAGAATGAGTCTTGGGGGAATTCCACTTGGGAATCCAGTGGTTGCTGGTCATTGGTGGTGGTGTATCCTGAAGGCAGATCGCTCACATGCTGGCTGGCTGCTCGGAACTGCCTGTAAGACAAATTGCTAAATGGTCTTATTAATAAAAACCCCAGAGCCAGATATTGGGGTGAAAACAGAGATCAGAGGAATAGGACAAGCCACAGCCAATCTCACCTTACCGACTCCTCAGCCTCCAAAGTGACCTGCTTCCTGTATACCCATGCCTATATGCCTTTCTGTCCTGCCATCTTACTTTCTCTCTCCTTCCAACTATATAATTTCCTGTCTGTCTGTACAGACCTCCAGACCTCCATGGAATGAAAGGCATATGTCACCACGAATGGCTCTGTTCCCAGTGTGGTCTTGAAATCACAGAGATCAGGATGGATCTCTGCCTCATGAATGCTAGGATTAAAGGCATGTGCTACCATTGCCTGACTTCTATGTTTACTATAGTGGCTGGCTTTTTCCTCTGATCCTCAGATACACTTTATTGGGGTACACTGTATTTGGAAGATTTCTTGTGTCCCGCCTGACTTGCAGTTGGGACAAATCTCTCCCACCCAGCCCTGCAGCTGCTGAGAAGCAAATAAACATACAGAGGCTTAATATTATTTATAACTGATTGGCCATTAGCTCAGGCTTATTACTGACTAGCTCTTACAATTAAATTAACCCATAATTAGTATCTATGTTTAGTCACATGGCTTGGTACCTTTTCTCAATTTTGCTTTGTCATCTTGCTTCCTCTGTGTCTGACTGGCGACTCAGCCTTCCTCTTCCTAGAATTCTCCTCTCTGCTTGCCCTGCCTACACTTCCTGCCTGGCTACTGGCCAATCAGCATTTTATTTATCAACCAATCAAAGCAACACATATTCACAGCTTACAGAATGTGCCACAGTAGTACACAGATAAAAATATCACCACAACCGCCAGCCTATGAATTTTTTGGAAGGAAGCTAATTGACATGCCAACATGGATGGAAGAACTCTCACAAAGTAGCACCCTTGATTAAAAGCTACAGATAATTAATGATTGCTAGCTGAAGTAGAGTTAGTTTTTTCCAAAGATGAGCCCCCTAATTAGGTATCCAGTATGAAATTTTCACCACTAAAACTTATACATAAATACTAAATGAACTCAGCAGGTTGTATTTATATATCAATTCATATATGTAACAACAATAAAAAGGAGCCATTAATTTTTGAATGAGGAGAATATGGAAGAAGTTGGAGAGAGGAAAGGAAGGGTGGTGACATGATGTAAATATAGTTCACTTTTATGAATATTTTTAAAGTATAGAAGGAGAGAGATCTGGGTATAAGCATCCATTGCTAACTATGGAATCATTCCTCACTACTATTAGATATCTCAAGCTCTTGGTTCCAGAATAGACTGTATCCTTGAACTGGGAGCCAAAACAAATCTTCCTTTCTTAAAAACAGACAAGGTAAAGTACATTGGTGACTAAGAGAAATCAACCTCATCAGTTTATAAAAAGCACTGTATGTAGAATTGAGTAAAAGCCATCAGAAATCCATTTCAACTTTGACATGAGACATCTGAACAAAATTAAGGAGTATAATATCAATCTATTCATCCTTTATATAATAAAATACTTACCAGCATAACTGAGGCAAAAATCTTCTGGGACGTATATCTTCAGAGTCAGTACCCAGAAGCTGTGGCCCAGAAGTAGCCAAGGCTTCAGTTAAAGCATAAAATCTCCCATATGGTACTGATTTTCAAGGCATGAAGGGGTCAAAGAAAGCAGCTTGGATTTGACACCATTCAGGTCCCTGAAGTAACTCCAGGAGGTCATTGCTAAAGGTATAGCCTTAGCTGTAGTGGAAACTCCAGCATATTGGGGTGGCTGGAACTTCGGAATGACCAATAAGAACAACCACAAGCATGGACTGGAGCTGGTAAGCTGCGTATCATATGGATGACAAAACCAAAGAGGGAGTTGCCCAAGCCCTTTGGAGCTCAGAATGAATAAGTCCAAGATATCAGACACTGAAATATTTATGGTTTTAGATTTCAGTTTTGCTTTGATCTGATTATACCTGTGCCCTGGTTCTTCCCTTTTACAATAAGAAATACATAGCTTTTTTTTCAGCCCATAGTTGAAAGATTTGGGGATTTTCCTTCTCATTTTTGCTTTACCCTGATATTCAATGGCTTATTTCAGGTTTGCAGGTTGTGAATGATAGGTTTTATCACTGTTATACTTACATCCCTATACCAATCATGCTCCCTAGTTTATTGTCAACTTGTCCAGCAACAATCATCTGAGAGGAGGGAACTGAATTGAGAAAATGCCTCCACAAGATTGGACTAAGAACAGGTCTGCAGGGTATTTTCTTAATTAATGCTTGATGGGGAATGACCCAGCCCTCTATGAGTGGTGCAAGCTCTGGACTAGGAGTCCTGGATTGTATAAGTAAGCAAGCTAAGCAAGCCATGAGGAGCAAGCCAGTAAGAAACACTCCTCTATTCATAATAGCTAGACATTGGAAATGACATAGATGTCTCTCAACAGAAGAATGGACAAAGAAAATGTGGTACATTTACATAGTGGAGTATTACTCAGCTGTCAAAAAATGACATCATGAAATTTGCAGGCAAATGGATGAAACTAGAAAAATAACCTTGACTTTGGTAACTCAGAAACAGAAAGATAAATAAGATATATAATTGTTTATATGTGTATATTAGTCATTAAATGATAGTTAAACTACAATTTTTAGACCCTGAGAGGTTAGGTATAGAGGAAATGACTAGGGAAGAAATATCATTCCAATGGGAGGGGGAAATAGAATAGATTTGATGGTTGGACTCAGGACAGGGGCGAGGATGGGAATGGGAGGATAAGCAGGGGAAAGGAGGAGAGATGGGGTTGAGAGAAAGAATGCTGAGATAGCTGAGCAGAATTTGAGAGATGCTATAGAAGCATAATGCAATGAAAACTTCCTAAAATATATGAAGATGATCCTAAAGAAGTCTCCAAATAATGGGAGAGAGAGATACCCAACTGGCCATCTCTTGTCATGAAATGAAGCTGCCAGTACTGAGACTGAGTTATATGTAATTGAGTTGTTAGCCAAAAGGGTCTCATTAAGTTGCTCTCCACAAATTGACAGCAAGTCCCATTGTTGAAGACAATATCCACACAACTCATTGAACATGGAGAAGTACAGCTGGTACCTTCCTATATCTACATCCAATGTCTTTTGTACATGAAGATACTCTGCAGGCTACCAAAAGAAAAACATAAGCACCAACCTGGCCACAAAACCTTTGACCTATGCCAAGATATGCTAGGGCAATGGTGGCACAAAGCTTATGGGAGCAAACAACTAATGGCTGATTTGATTTAAGATCTATTCCACAACATAGAACTCATACCAGACACTAATTGGGTAAACAAGAACCAGACACTAGATAGCCCAGAGACGTAGGATAAAACCCAATACTACTGGCCTATTGATGCCCTCCTTTTCTGTTAACTGTTATTATATACATAAATATATATGCATATATAGCCTTAAATATAACCTACTTGGTCTGTATAATGTCAACTGTATGTATGTTTTCAGATCTGACCACTTGGCATTTGGTAACCTATTGATGGTGCTCTTCCCTGGGGAAGACCACCTCTCCTGCTCCCAGTTTTCCTCAGTTGCCTGTGGTTCTCTATATAGGGTTGAGACTTCATGGGCTTTTCTTTTTTTTTTTTTAAACTTACTTTGTCATTTTTTTTTCTTTATTAAGAAATTTTCTACTCACTCTTCATGCTATCCACAGACCTGCCCTCCTCGCTCCTCCCACCCCCCAGCCCTCTTTCCCAAGCCACCCCACATCCCCACATCCCCCAAATTGAGGTCTCCCATGGGGAGTCAGCAGAGCCCAGCACACTGAGCCTAGGCAGGTCCAAGCCCCTTCCCATGACACCAAGTCTGTGCAAGGTGTCACACCACAAGCACTGGATTCCCAGAAGCCTGCCTCATGGGCTTTTCTACTTTGTCATGGACACTGGTACAGTCCTTGTACATCTCACATTTGGGCAGTCAGCTAAATCTTTTGTAGATTTTAATCTCTAGTATATAAGACCCTGTATCCATTACAGCTAGCCATATATTTGAAAAAATGGTATTGTGAGAAAATTACATGTATCTTAAGAAAATGGAGCATATACTTCAAAGACGCATGTCGGTGATGTCAGTAGAAATGCTGTTAGTGATCACATTCTTTGATCAGTAGGCAATTTATTTGTTTGATTCCTGAACATATAGCTTAGACATATAATATCCACATCTCTGAAAAGTACAGATAATTTTATAACAACATAAACCTTTATGCATAACAAGAGATCCTTACCAATATAAACCAGCAATATCATGTTTACATCTTTACTTAAAATAATCTTGCTGTGTGTTAATTATTTGTTCACAATTTCACTTAATTTGTATTGCCATGACTGAATCACACATTTTTGATAATTTTTATCATATCTAGAATATCATATTCTACAGCAATTAGCTTAGTCGCAACACCTATCAGATGCTTTAGAAATAATTTGTGACAAAATAAATATTTTAAAATAGTGTTTCCTGTATTTTTAAGTAATTTCCATAAAAACAAAAATGTAGCTGTAATAAAGGGTAAAAGACAATAAGAGAACATGAAGGGTTGAATTAGGTAGGAGATGGTAATAAAGAGGGGCGCTATGAGGAGAAACAACTAACTCTGAGACAGTTTGAAAAAGTCATATCAGAACCTACTACTGTAGAAGCTTCCTAAAACACACACACACACACACACACACACACACACACACACACACACACACACAAGAACTGAAATGGAGTTATCCTATACAGGGTGACAATACACCTATTAGACACCACACGCTAACCAATAAATGTTTAGTCCAGTGTCAGGAATGGATAACTTCTTTTGCCATTGTTGACCAGTGAAGGCTCACAGACCTCAATCATTGTATGCTTCTGTTTACCCTCCAGAACTTGTCAGTAATACCCTGTTACTGAAGACATCACATACTTGAGTCATAGAACATTGAGAAATAAGGCTGATACTGATCCAGAACCTTCCTCCCTACTGGATAGCTTTCATAGAGATAGAAGGCACTAGGAACACTACAAGAGGGGAAACATAATTATCAGTTTTACCCAGCTGTCAACTTTATGAGCTACAATAACAACTATCCTGGGGAGACAGGGATATTGGTGCTATAGTGGCTGGGCATTATAAAAGTAACTAACCACTCTGATTAAAGTCACTTAACAACATGAAATCTATACCTGACAATATTACAGGGGCCAATACCTATGGACAGACAGCCCATAGGCCTTTAGGGGACAACCTATTGCTTGTACTCTGTTAATAAGACATAATATAAAATCGAATCCTGATTTCTTATTATACCCATTCATTAATGTACCTCCTAACACTCACCAGAGAAGTTTCTACCTGTAGTAGATGGTAACTATCACACTTTTCTTTTGTTGCTATGATAAAAGGCTGACCAAAAATAACTTTTGGGAGAAAATTGTTTGAGTTACAGATTTCAATCAGTTATCAAGAGAAACCCAGTCAGGAACTAAACATAGACCATAGAGAAATTCTGCTTACTGTCTTGATACCCATAGCTTTCTTAGTATGCCATCTTATACAACCCAGGTGTGGTGCTGTGCATGGTGGGGTGGGTCCTCCTACATCACTCATCAATCAAGAAAATGCCCCCCAAACATGCCCACAGGACAACCTGCAGAATCAGTTCCTCAACTAAGATTCTCTCTTCCCAGTTATTTCTAGATCTGTTTCATGTGGACAAAAACTAACCAAAATGATGGTTTAACAAAGATACCCACAACTAGTAAGGGTTCAGAGAAAAAGAAACTGCAGGATGCTCAGCTAGAAATGGGACATCTGTATCAAAACTTTATCTTCCCAAGGCACGGGGACCATTGTGAAAGAGATGTTGTAAGATTTTAAGAGCCAGAGGTAGCTGAGAACATAAGGAAACAGTGTTTCCATGTCCAACTGAGAAGTTGCACATATTCACTCACAGTAGTATTGATAGCACGCATAAGAGCAGTGCAAGCTGAAACCAGACAACATTTCACCATGGAAAGGGAAACTGGGTGAAGCTTAACCACTGACTGAAGATTTATTGGCAATTGATAGGTGCTGGGAGAGGGAAATTCAGTTTTCTTTAAGGGTATTGCCCCTGGTCGTTCAACCAAACTCTAGTATGCTCACAGACCCAAGAGTATATAGCCACACAAATTGGACTGAATGGGTTTAAAATAAAAACAAAAACAAAAACAAAAACCAAGCATGGGCACCAGTTTAGTTTGATATGGAAGGCAGATTTGGGAGGAGTTTGGAAAAGGATGTCTTTTGAGCTTTCCTGTTGGGAATACAGATGTGTTTGAGGTCAGAGAAGTGGAGAGAGACATTATAGTATGAATTTATGAGGAAAGACACAATGGTTAAAGATATGCAATCCAGAGGCTAAAGGGATGGTTAAGTGCTTAATAGTGAGTACTGCTCTTACAGAGGACCAGAGCTCCATTCTCAGCACCTACATTGGGCAGTTCGCCACTCAACTGCCTAGATCTCCAGTTCTGGGGGGTAATTACCTTCTCTCATGGCCTCTGCAGGCAACCACACTCACATATGCACATGCCACCCCACAAACACATACACATAATTTAATATTTTTATTTTAAAAAATCACATGCCTTTTAGACTCATACTTCCTGATATTAATCCCAACATCACGTACCTTGTATTTGCTCATTTTCTTCATTTGTCGAATGCTACACTGTCATAACTTAATGATAATATTTTCACATATGATCAGTAATGAGTGTAAGAATAATTTGAATATATAATGGCTGATTTAATAACTTCATTGTTGAATGAAATAATAAGTAAATAAATACATTAACAATAGTATAAAAAGTATGAATAGTGTCTATAAATAGTCATGGATAGGAGTAAAACAAACAGAAGCTGTGAATGGTAAGGCAAACAATTATCACCATATTATAAATACACAATATTATCCAGAATTGTACCCAGTGGTACTGTTATATGTCAGCCCCCTTTTAGAAAATGTAGTCCATGCTGTTTCTAATGAAATCTTTCCATTCAGGTTGGTGCTTCATCAGCTTAACACTTAATATAGGTGGTTCACAGGCTTTCAGTAAATTTAAGGTAATTTATGATTTCATCTTTCTCAAGTAATTTTCAATCAAGTAAAGTTATCCAACAAGACTGGGAGTTGTGCATGGAAACATTTTATTTTAAGGTTTCATTACCATGCATAAATTCACATGCCCTCCCTATCTCTATCCATTTTTTTGCAAGTAATTGTACAAAATGACTCAACATATGTGTATACCCGTTTTTAGGTTAGTAAATGGAACAAGGGATCTTAAGTGTTTTAAATGGGAAATAATAAGCTGTTACAATTTAATTTCTAATAATGAACTCAAGTCTCCTTCCAAAATAAAGAACATAGTCTATGGAAAGCATGAAAACCCAAGATAGTGACAGAAAAAGCACAGTATCATCCGAGGCAGAACACTTTAGGGCCTTCTTTCATAACTTATGGGAAAATCAGTTTTATTTAATTCATTTTATATTGGTTTCTTCAGTCACAAAATAGAGATAATAATCAAGTATATACATAAGAGCAAAAGTTTAAATAAATCTCTTATTCACTTCCCATCTGCTAAGCTCCTACAAGGCACCTAGTTCAAGTTTTGCTTGCATACTAAGCTGTTTTTGGAGACCTCACATAGGCAAGGATAGAAGAAGGCACACTCTGTAATTATAGTGGATGGCGTGGGTGATGCTACCTGCTGATGCATCTACTTGTACATATGACCGTTCTCAGGCTTAGTACAAATGTACCACTTTCTGTGCAAGGGGCATATGTTGCATACCTAAGACTTTAGTTTGGAGATTCTGACAGAGTCAAGCTTATAGTACCTGTTTCTAGATTCCTTGTCCTAATATGTTTACTCTGAGATAGGTTATTCTATCTATTTTCAAGCAATGTTCTACCATCTATCTTATCTTTCTATCAATCTGTCTGTCTGTCTGTCTATCCATCCATCCATCTATCCATCTATGTATCCATCTATCCACCTATCTATCTATCATCTATCTATCAAGCATCTACCATATTCTACCTACCTATGTAGCATCTGTCTGATCTCTACAGAAAGCATGGTTTTGTTAAAATATTTAGTGACCTATAAAATTAATAAGGACTGGTGTGATCTCTATCTTGTTTCTTTTTCTACCTATAAAACTCCAAAAACAGTACAGAGTCTGTTAAATTATGTAACCGAAGTGGCAGGCTGTTAAATATCAGCCTATAAATTCTGCAGAGCTATTTCCTGGCCCTTGCTTAACATCATATTGGGCATTTTCCATATTGTCTACTATTACAACAAGATGGTAGTCCTAAACATGGAATATGCTGTATCTGGAATTCCCTTATCCCTGAAAAAAGTCCACTATGTCTGTCACTTCTTAGTTTGTTATAAAGGATTCAAGATTTATGATTTCTTTTTTACTTTGCAGGAGATGTCTCAGGACATTTCTACCATAAATTTTACAAGAGATACTGGTCCTTAAAATTTTATTCTGTTTATCTCCTTACCTAAGAGGTCAGATGTCTAAGGACTTCAAGCACACTGGTCACACCTTGCTTACCTTGTACATTCAAAATAATGTCACTGTTGTAATGGATTTTTGTGGCATTGTGTGGGGGACACTTGAAGTTCTGATATCTTTAGATTAAATTAGGAAAGAGGAAGCAGTTAACTTATCCTAGATTCAGAAATGCTAAAAATATCATTTTCCCCACAAAATATAAGCTGTTTTTGTTTCAGAATTTTATATACATATATACAACATGTTTTGATCAAACCCACTCACAACTCCCTCCCTTCCAACTCCTGTCACTACCCGTAATACTTCTCCATCCCAACTTCATGAATACATTTTTTAACACTGAGTTCATTCAGTGCTTCTGGTATGTGTGTGGCTGCAGACCCATCTACCGGAAGAAACATGAGTAATTTATCAGTGGCTGTTTCACTCAAGAAAACTGACTCTCCCTTCCCTAGTGCCTATCAACTGTCAAAATCTCCTCACCTCTAGATGGGACTCGTTGGGCTGCTCCCACATTCATGCTCCAAATGCAGCCAGCTTAATCATGGAAAGGTCTTATACTTGCAGCCACAGTTCCTGCATGTTCTTTCAAGTAACCACCATGTCCTATTCAGAAAACACTTTTGCAGAAATGCTCCGCAACCTCTGGCTCTTAGAATCTTTCCACTCCCTTGTCTCCAATGATTCCTGAGCCTTAAGATGAGAGGGTGTGATGTTAATGTTTCATGTAGAATTTCTCCCTAATATAAGCTTTTTAAAATATAAGCTATTTTTAATTTGCTTTTCCAAGTGGAATGGAGATGAATGCATTTTGACAAATCACTGGCTATATGCCTCAGCAGTATGCTCTAGCAATGATACAATTTAAGCCATAACAGTCAGGATGTAGATCAACACTTGGCTAACTATGCAGTAGTCTATAACCATTCTTCAGGATGAGGTTTCCCTGGGAGAAAACTATAAAAGTAACCAGAAGTTTGTTAAGAACAATCATCACTGCACTTCTCTGGTCCTAAATAGTGGCAATAATTTCTCCCCAACTGGCAGAATGACAGCCTCTATTCAACATGGTATAGACTCATTGTTCCACCTGCCAAAAGCATCACTTACCACCTCGGTGTCTTAGTTAGGGCTTCTATTGCTGTGATGAAACACCATGACCAAAAGCAAGATGGGGAGGGATGGGTTTATTTGACTTACACTTCCACATCACAATGTATCACTGAAGGAAGTCAAGGCAGGAACCCAAACAGGGCAGGAACCTGGAGGCAGGAGCTGATGCAGAGTCTATGGAGGAGTACTGCTTGCTCAACAGGACTTGCTCAGTTTGCTTCCTTATATAAGCTAGAACCACCAGCCTAGAGGTTGTCTCACCCACTATGGGTTGAGCACTGTTATATCATCACTAAGTAAGAAATTTCCCCACAGGCTTGACCACAGCATGATCTTATAAATGCATTTTCTCTATCAATGTTTTCTCCTATCTGATGACTCTAGCTTGAGGCAAGTTGACATAAAATTAATCAGGACACTCAGAATTATAGAAATGACCAATGAATGAGTCTTTGGATTTGTGATGATATTTAAGCCAGCTTATTGTCTAGGCCTCTCTCCAGGTTTACTTTCAAAGTGGGATGAAGGGACACCATTGCTACTTAAGAGAAAACTTCTTGTTGTTCTATGTATATTTGGGTTTCAGTCATATTTTAATGTTAATAATCACAGCTTGTTTTTCACTAATGTTCTACCGAGTATGTCCTTTGGCCATCCTGCCAGTGGACCTCCTAGAGACCTGGATCTTACTCCATGGTGTGGTCCCGAGGACCTCAGATACTATAGATGGACTGATTTTTCCCATGGAATGAATTTCTCTGGTGGGTGATTTGTCCTTACATAGGCCTGGAAAAAATCCAACAGCCCTGTGAAGACATAGCCCTAAGAAGAAGATTAGACCAGGGAAAAATAGAGATGTTTTCCTTATACTGAATCGACATAATCAATGCTCAGAGTCTGATACCCAATTTAGTCATGTACAAAATGCAATATCTAATGGCATGATGCATCTACCCCACACCAACTAGCTGTTCTTTCAGTGAGTATAGCACAAATACACAGATACAGTCATAGAAAATATCTTATGAAGTGTTGTTTGCAATAGAAAATAACTAGAAGTACTTACGTATTCTTACAAAGGAAAATTACTAGGCTGTAGCACATCAAAATACCTAAAGCTGAAAGAAATCATTTGTGATCAATAAATACTTATTAAGAAATTACCCTTGACCATGGCTTGTGTCAAGAGCTAGAGAAAGAAGGTAAAAAAAAGTTGATGTGGTTTCTGTGTCTTTAAAGCCTATCTTCTGGATAATGTGATAAATAATTAACAAACAAATTCTGCTGCATGACTATGAAGGGGGAAACTGAATTCTGTGATAGAGAAAGATAAACGGGGTTGGAGCAAGGAATGGAGCGAAACTTTAACATACAATTAAGTGGGGTTTGTAGAGAAAACATCTGAGATAGTAAATTGAAACATAAGTAGTAGTAAAAAGGGACAGACTTTCAAAAAGTAAAAGTAGAACAATGTTTCAGACAGTAGAAACAACAAACAATAAACTAGGGCAAGATATGAAAGAGGTTGTCACGTCTCCTCAGGTATGTTCAAGATCCAGGTTATTAGAAGAAAGATTATCTTATGAGGAAGAAATGCTGCCAGTGATTTAAAGTAAGCAAATAAATAAGATAGGCAGCTGTGGAGGCAGGCTTTGAGCTTGGCAAAGATGTAAGGTGATTAGTTGCAATCAGTCATTTTATATTTTTCTATCACAACTTATAGGAGAGGGGAAGAAAGACTGGGTGGAATACAAGAGTGATGTTTTTTTAATATATTATGAGTGCTACAGTCCTGAATCTTATCTCTCAGGATTTTAATTTTCATTATGGAAAATCCTTTTCTCAAAAGGTAGAAAAGAGAATCTATTAAAATATAAAGCAGACTGTTCAATGAAGGGTTGTAAGTCCATAGATAATTATATATTGTGCAGACATGCATATTAATTCTCTCTTTGTAATTAATATATTTCATTCTCTTTATTTGCCTTTCACTTGGCAAAAATTGCAGTTTTAACATATGCAGAAAAACTGTGCATTTGACAAATACAAACAATTAAAAACATAATGAGATTTAAATAAGGATATACATATTATAAGTAACTATGTAAATCATGCTAAATGGAATTGCATTAGAATTATGGAAACAACTAAAGTTGCAAATGCAATATGATTTATTTCAACATTATTTACAAATGAAATGAACGTCTTCCTAAAATAACTTTAGAAATGTTACCTTTTAAATGTTTCAATTTTAAAACATATGGGCAGGTAGGAATTTTTAAATAGAAAGCAGAAGTCCCGTGCTGTCTTAATATAGATACAATACTATGTCAGGTTTGAGTCAAAATGTCTATAGAAAACCTGAAACTGGTCCAGTATTTTTCAATGTTTGATTTCCAAAGACCATACAGCATAAGAACCAACAGTGATTTGTATTTTTTAACGTTTGCTTCTTCAATTTCTAAATATAGGTATGAATAGGCCCTCAAGGGAATAGTCCAACTGATTACAAAATAGGAAGAAAAAAATCATAGATGGAAACAAACAAAACACTTTAAACAAGAAATCTGAACTGACACATCGTCAGACTCCTTTAATTATCTGTTTTATACTAACTGGTAAAACATACCATCAGCCTGTGATGGTTAGTTTTTGCCAAATAGGCACAAATCTACACTTGTCTGTCAAGAGGGAATCTCAACAGATTGGCCTATAGGCGGATCTTTTGGGTATTGTTTTGATTAATGATTGATGGGGTAGAGCACAGGCCATGAGGGTAGTGCCATTCCTGGGTGGATTGTCCTGGGTTGTATCAGAAAGAAGACTGAGAGTTTCATGGGGAGCAAGCCAGTAAGCAGTATTCCTCCATGATCTCTGTTTCAGTTCTTGACTCCAGACTCCTGCCTTGAGTTCCTGCCTGACGTCCCTAATTGATGAATTGTGATGGAGAAGTATAAGCTAAGCAAACCTTTTCTTCCTCAACCAACTCTTGGTCATGGCCTTTATCACAGCAATAGAAACCAAACTAGGACACTACAAAAATCCTATTCAGATGCCAGGAGAAATCCCCAAGCAGCTTTGAAGGAAGTGATCTTTTTGCCTCTGTTGAAGAAAAATATTGACAGTCAAATTTCAAATTATAGTTAAAACTATTACAAGGAAAAACTTTCAAAAATTATTATTTATCAAAAGGCTGGATTCTAAGCAACAGTGTGTACTGAGTGAACATTAAATTTTGGTAATATTAATACATTATAGAATCACATAAGATATCTTAGGGACAAAGATGCCAAGTCTCCAAACATAAATGTACATCAGTGATTTTAGATTCTATGCTCTTCACTATATTGAGAAGACAAGGGTCTTGTTCATTGTAGTGAAAGGCTTAGGGTCAGAATTGTGAAAGAGCAGAAAGGATTGGATACTTGTGACACCACTTTAAATAGTATTGTCGGTTGGGAGTGAGTCTATTGAAAGCTGTGCAATAGTAGCATATGACTGATATAACAGGTAACATTTAAGAAAAATCTACTCGGATTGTTAAAATGACACCAGAAGTAGTTAAAATACCACTGAGTTGGGAGGAGAAGAAAAGTCTATCCAGGTCTAAACTACTGTGGTTTGAATGAGAATGTTCTCCCATAGGCTCAGTTATTTGAACACTTGATCCTAGTTGGTGACACTGCTTGAGGATATTTAGGATGTGCCAGTTTGCTGGAGGAGGTATGTTACTTGGGGTGATATTTGAGAATAAAAACCCTTGTCTACTTCCTGTTTGCTCTCTCTGCTGTGAGCTTGTGTTAGAAGATGTGAGCTCTCAGTGTTCCGCTTCTGCCATCATACCTGAAAATACTGCAGTGTCTCTCCACCAAGATATCACTCTAAAACTGAAAACTCAAATAAATCCTTCCTTCTATAAGTTACCTTTATCATGGAAACTTAAAAGTAACTAATACAAAAGGTAATAAATCTTCAATCCATAGAAAAGCTGAATGAGTCACATATTTATAGTACCCACATTGAATGAAGTCAGTTGATGCTATCGTGATTTAATTCCTGAGATGTCCTGGAAGTTTGGACACATTTAATCACCAACCCAAAGACCTGAACTATATAATAGCCATCCTGAACTGTCCAGTAGCCATAATCTAATTGCCATTCCTCAAATATAGGACTTCGCACTTGCCGCAAGCCACAACCCACATGTGGCTTCTGTGCTTAACATGTGGGCTGATGTCACCAGGACTTAATTCCTAATTTTCAACTGAAATCTAAAAATAGATATGATATTCTGCACTTGGAAAAGATAATTTGTTTATACAACCTACTTACAGACATTTTTATTTATAACCATACAGTATAAGAAATATATATGCAGGTCAAATAGTACTTCAATATCCTATTATTAATCAAAGAGTCTTATATGTAAAAATACAATGAAATGAGAAAAGAAATAAATCTACCTCATTGATAGTATGAATATTGATAACATGTTGAAGTTGTATTTGGACTTATGTCTAAATAAGGTATTTTACTAAAAAGTTTCATTGTTTTTTCTTGTTGCTTTTACTTTTTTACAATACAGCTGCTAGAGATTTTGAAATGACCCCAGGTTTGCCTGATATTTCTATTAGATAGGCTACTTTGAAAAGCCTGTTACTTATGTAAGTTATCCTTGTTTGAGCCTTGTTTTTTTTTTGCCATTGGAATGCATAAAATTGGGCAAAGTTTTGCTAAATTTAACTATTATTATCACAAATCATGGTAGTTTGAATTGGCCCCCATTATCTCATAGGAAGTGGCACTACTAGGAGGTATGGCTTTGTTGGAGTAAGTATGGCCTTGTTTGGAGAAACTGTGTCACTCTGGGGTAGGGCTTACAGGTTTCCTATGCTCAGGATACAGCCTACTGTCTCAGTTTGTTAGGGTCCTAGAGAAGTCCCACAAAGGACCACCATCCATGTATGCAATCAACAAGTGTATTCATTATCCCAGCGTACTGGGGCTGGTCATTCCACTCAAAGGCAAAATGGTGAAGACCCCGAGAAGGATGTGTGAGCTCCTTTGAAGCACAGCCAAAGGGAGGTCCTACAGCAGTTAGGTCATTTTAGATGTGATTGGCTTATTCAAGTGGCAATCATATGAGTACGATCTAATTGGCCAAGGATACTTAGAGGATAGTCAGAGTACAGTTTTCCATTTTGGGGTAGGCCTGGACAAGTCCCAGGCTTTGTCTTTATTTGGTTATCTGCTGACTATGGCTCAGATCTGGCCTGCGTGTACCAGATTTCCTCATTCTTGCTATTGGGGGTATTGGAGATTGATTATCCTTTGTCCTTGGAAATTTTAGAAACTGTTTGTCTAGCTTCAGGAAACTGAAATTGAGGCCTGATATCTCTAAGAGAAGACTGAGTGGCCTGTTATGGTATCTGCTTGGTCCTCTCAAGTTGATTTCCTATTGCCTACAAGATGTAAGACTCTCAGCTATTTCTCTAGCACATCTGCCTACATGGTACCCTGCTCCCTGTCATGATGTTAATGGACTGAACCTCTGAACTGTATTTGAGCCACCCCAATTAAATATTTTCTTTATAAGAGTTGCTGTGTTCATAGTGTCTTTCCACAGTAATAGAAACCCTACCTAAGACAGAAGTTGGTACCAGGAATGCAGTATTGCTGTGATAGGTCTGACCATACTTTTGTTTGGAGGAATTTAGACTTCGGTACTTTGGTTTAGGAAAGTAGTAAGATGCTTTAAACAGTGCTTAATGGGCCATACTAATAGAATCATGGAAGACAGAGGTGCTAAGGTTTATTTGAACCAAACTGGGGCTCATTCAAGAGGTTTCAGAGGAGTAGAATTTTAATATGTTGCCTAGAGATCATTCTTGTGATATCTTGGTGAAGAAAGTGGCTGCCTTTTGCCCTTACCCAAACAATTTGCCTGGAGTTAAAGTAAAGAATTTATGATTTATTCCATTGGCAGAGAAAATCTCAAAGCAGCCTAGTATAGACTCTGTCATGTGGCTACTAGTGTTAATGCTTATAAATATTTATAATGAAAAGGAGCAAGGTGAGCAAGGTAAATTACAAAAAGTAAATATTGAGGAGAAAAAGAACACCAGGAAGTGGAAAGGAGTTAAATCCTGTGTTAAACCAGCTGGACAAAGCTGGTGAGATAAAAAGATTAAAGAATGGAATGTAGGGAGTGCTGACCTCAAGGCAAGATACTACCCAGCTAATTTTCCAACTTGTGAAAAGGAATTAAAGAAAAGCTTAGATCTGGGTGTGGGGGGCACACCTTTAATCTTAGAACTCAGAAGGCAGTGGCAGGTGGATCTCTGAGTTTGAGGCCAGCCTGGTCTACAGAGAAAATTTCAGGACAGCCAAGCTTAGGCAGTGAAAGACAGAAAGCTGGTAAAGATGTAATTGAAAGAGGGGGCCATGTTCCAGCCACAGTAAGCAGCAGAACTTGCCAGCATTGTGCACATGATTCTGGCTTTAGAGTTAAGGATAAAAGAAATAGATAATAGAATTTGCCTCCATGCCTATAGAAAGCCACTGAGGCCAGGCATGTGTCAGTGGTGTCCCTGAATGGAGGCCCAGTAGACGGGCCATTGCATGAAGCTGAGAATTTGATTCTGGATTGCCTTGGAGAACCCAAGGTGTTAGAGATGCCAGACTCATGGGATACCTGCCAAGGAAAGCTGTTAACAGATAGTAGAACTAGCCTGAGAGAAAGAAGTGTGTTGCAGTTAACAAAGCTGAACAGAGTTGGAGATCTGAAGAGCATTTTGGCATCAGACATGGAGATGCAAAGTTTGCAGTTTACCCAGCAGTTTTCGGTCTTGCCTTGGTCCAGTATTTCCTCACTATGATCCCTTCCCTGTGTTTTGGAATGGTAATATATAATCCTGTGCCATTACATGTTGGAAATATGTGATCTGCTTTTTGGTTTTCATTTTTACAGGTGATTATGTTAAGAGATTGCATGAATCTCAGAAGAGACTTGAAGTTTTGGACTTTAAATCATTGTTGAGACTGTGATAGACTATGGGGACTTTTAAAGTTGGACTAAATGAATCTTGAATTATGACATTGTTACAAACTTTAGGGGCCAGGGAGTAGAATGTAGCAGTTTCAATGTAACTGGCCCTCATAATCTCATAGAGAGTGGAACTATTAGGAGATGTGGCTTTGTTGGAGGAAGTTTGTTACTGTGGGGGTGAGCTTTGAGGTTTCCTAGTTTCTCAGTCAACTTCCTGTGGCCTACATGTAGACCCCTACCTATATCTCCAGCACCACGTCTTCCTGCATGACCCCATGCTCCCTGTCATGACGATAATGGACGGAACCTCTGAATTGTAAGTGAATCACCCCAATTAAATATTTTCCTTTATAGGAGTTACTTTGGTCATGGTGTCTCTTCACAGAAATAGAAACCCTAATTAAGACACAAATATATACCATTATTTGTATAACAGAGGAACTTTGAAATAATGATTATTCTTGGTGAAATCAAAAGGTAAGTACTTGCTAGCTTCTGAAGCATGCTCTCAAAGAAGTGAAGCTACTTTTTTTGCCAGCATGTAAGACGAATCTTAAAAGGTCTTACTAAGAAAAAACCTGGAGCCAGATATTGGGGTGAAAACTGAAAGATCAGAGGAATAGGACAAACCATAGCCAACCTCAACTCACCAACTTCTCAGCCGTCACAGAGGGCTACTTCCTGTATACTCATGCCTATATCCTTTCTGTCCTTGCCATCTCACTTCCTCTCTCTGCCCAGCTACAACACTTCCTCTTACTATCCAGCTCTATCACTTCCTGTGATACAAGAACACAAACCTCTAGACCTCTATGGTTAAGAAGTGCTGGGAATTAAAGGCTTGTGCCACCATACCTGGCTCTGTTCCCAGTGTAGCCTTGAACTCACAGAGATCAAGATGAATCTCTGCCTCCTGAATGCTGGGATTAAGGGTGTGCACTACCACTGCTTGTCCACTATGTTTAATATAGTGACTGGCTTTTTCCTCTGATCTCTGTGCAAGCTTTATTTATTAGAGCACAAATAAAATATCACCACACCGACATGTGCTACCATACCCCTGCTCTCAGAACATACAAGAAGGCAAACACAAATGGTAACAGGAAGAACAAAATTGCAGTTCCCCTAAAGAAATCTAAGAGATGAAGAGGTAGATCAACACTTGTCCCCCACTCCTTTTATGTTAAGATAGAGACCACTTGTTGATCCTAAAGATGTTCTTTTACAAAGCTAGGGAAGAAGTCAAAATGCTTCTGAACCCAACAATTGCAAGTTTATAAAATAGAGACCCAGTGATTGGGATTTAGCATGATAAGTAGGGCTTTAAGTTATGAATCATATTGTTACTCTTGGACACCAGTGACAAGTTTGATATTTAAGTATAATTATGCTTTGATAAAAATTTGACTTTGATGTAATGATCTCTGTCTGATTGAAAGAGAAGTTTCTTTGATGAGGAGTGAGTACTAAACCTATCTTTGGGCATAAGGACAAATATTTAGATTGTTGTTAGGGATTATGATGGTTTAGTAAAGTGGTGGTTGGAGGCTCTACTCTAAGATGATTGCACTAGCACTAAGTAGTTGTCTAGGTTTCTAGTACCAGTCATGACTTTCTTCTTGTTGAGCAGGTCTTAGGTTTAAATAGAGAGCTGTTCGTTACCCCCAAGGTATGTGTATCACTGCTGCACTCTTAGAATCATTTTTGCCATGTTGGTCATTGTGGTTCATTGGTGTCATGGCTCAGTAGGACTGGCGTTTACTTCCCTCATTTAGAAGCTGGCATGATACCTTCTGGTGTCATGAAAGTTAGTCCACAAGGAGGAAGTGTTCATGTCAGTCCCAGTTCAATAGTATTTAGCCCTGTTTCTGAAGTGCATGATGCCTTCAGCAATAGGGATTTCCACTTCTTGGGGGAAAGCAAGCACAATTGCAATGGGCTATAAGTTTTTAGAGTCTCTAGGGCAGCCCCTGAGCATCAACTCAAAAGAGGGCTTCTTGTGTCTGTTTTGGGAGATTTTGTTAAATAGTCTTTGGCTCTTGTTGAGAGTATTGCCAGTCAGATGAGAAAAGTTTATTGAAATTATATATGTGTATTTATACACACAATTACCTGCATAATATTTTGTAGACAAGTTGTCAAAATACAGAGTTGTGGTGCCTAATCTCAATGTGTGTGTGTGTGTGTGTGTGTATCTGTATACACAAAGTCTTCTCACATGATGGGCTCAGAGAATACTGTAGAAAAGGGGACAGAAAGATTATAAGAGCCATAAGATCATGGAGTTTGTTGTGAGATTGTGTCTCCTGGTTATTTCAGAAAATACACTCACAAAGTCTCAGCAACATGACTGTCTAACATAAGCTGAATAAGAACACCAATAGATATCCCAAAGTGAATGGGGAAGGCCCAGGAGACCTCAACCTTACATAAATAACTAAAGTCAGCTAAGGAATGCTGAGAGTGGAAGAGATAGCATTCTTCATGGAAGAACATACCAATTGGTCATGCATGCCCAATAGTCAGACTTGAGAACATATATGCATGTAAAATTATACAGACTGAACAAATTACATACATACATATATGCATATATATATAATAACAATTAATAAATGAAAAACCATAAATTTGAAAAGCAGCAGGAGGAGTATATGAGAGGTCTGAGGGAGGAAAGGGAAGAGATAAAGGAAAAGATAAATGATGTAATTATACTGTAACCTCAAAAAATATATGACTTTGCATGACCAGAGCATTAATTCCAACCTTTAATATCTACAACATAAAAAGTACTATATAAAATATTTAGACAATTAGGGCTAGACAGAAATACTTCCATCTAACAATTAGATGTCTATTGGAGGCAATGTTTTTTCTGGGTTTTATATGCCCTCTCTTTAAAGTTGCTTGTCTTGGACATATCCTTGCTTGCATCTTCTTAGATGTACCCCTTACTTCATTTGTTCCATGGTTCTTGTCCAAGTAACTGAAACTTTAAAGGAATAAACCATGTAAAAAATTCTCTGCGAAGTCCAGATGAATTACACCCATTCTTGACCTCTATTTGCATTATACCTTGACTTCATATACACACACAACACAAGGTAGCAACAGCACAATTATAGGGGAACCCCAGGCTTTAAGAATTAGTGTGACTGATTAGCCCAAATATGAAGAAAAGAAAAGAAGAATAAAAAGCATCAGTCTGTGGGGAAGGCTTTGCCCTGGATGAGATGGGAATGGGGGGGGCTGGGGGGAAGGTGAGGGGGACGGGAGGGGGGGAGAACAAGGGAATCCGTGGCTGATATGTAGAACTGAATTGTATTGCAAAATTAAAAAAAAAACATTCTGATTTCATTGCATAAAATGTAGAACTTCTCACCTATTGCTGGCATATTCTTATATTTGCAATATAATATACATATGTGTGTGTTTGTATGCAAATATATGTATATTGAATATATGGCACATGTATAAAACACTAGAGGTAACTTAAAATATGTCTCATCAGGGCCTAGAGAGAATGTATATATTAGATAAATATTAGCAAAGCAATTTTAAAAATAGTTAATAAATGGTTGGAGTTATTATTATAATCATCTTCTAACTCCTGACCCTTCTCTATTGAGTGATGGTTAAATATATTCTGTCTTATATTTACTTAAAAAATACTCACCTGTCAGAAAAGCTAAAAAGAGGATTAGTACAGCATCTGGCAGATATTTATTGACTATGCCAACTAAGACAGATGGGCATTCAAACTTCAAAAATCTGTTTTTTATGTCCTGGAATGACAATGAATAATAGGTCAAATATTACACTGAGTAGCAGTCGCTCTATATTTGAGAAGAATAAAGTGAGCCTCTTAAAGCTGTTCCTCAATAGTTCTCTCTCTATCAGAGTCCTCATTTATATGATAAAGTTTCATTTGAAAAGCTGACCACTACAGTTTTCATCCTTTCTTATAAACAATGAGAGTGGTTAAAGTGCCTTGTATCCACATTACTACTCATATTCCATAACTCCAGTCTGCCAGTGTCATGTACAGGGCAAAAGATCATAGAATAAACATGGAATTTCTTCACATGAGTGAAGGATTGCATATTATACACACTATGTGCACATTACACCCTTACATAAAACAGAGAATGTATGACATATTCTCATTGTCATAAACAATAATTCATTACACATCTTGGTCTTTTAAGTCTGCAGTGCGGTTGTCTCTTGGTTTGTAATCCTAGTGTTTGGGCCTCTGGCTAGACCACACTCAGCCTTTAAAACATTCAAACGCCATTGCTGTTTCTCCACTACTGTTGCGATCTCTGGTAACCCACCCTTTGTTGTTTTATGAGTCAATGCAGACTTGGCATATCTGAAGTCATTTCACATCCATTCTTAAATTTCCAAAATGAATGACAGTGTGTGTGGTTACTACTATAGTAACAACACATGAGCACAGTCGCTGTACAGGTTGCAGAAGAAGCAAGGACAGACTGAATTTAGAACTCTCAAACCTCTACTTTCGCTAGATCTTCATAATATAGTGTGTGACAATGCTGGTAATATGATCATTTTTTTGTGAAAGCTAGGGGAAAAAAATTAGATATTAGTAAAAATCTCCAAGTTGGTTGATGCTCATTCAAAACTTCACATGTGCAGTCTGAAAATACCCTCCGAGCTTCATTTCTAATTATTTTAAATAGTGCTTACTTTGTATTCACTGCTTGGTTTGATGAACAGGAAAAACACAAGTCCACTCCTCAACAGCTCATTATCTAAAATGAAGGAAAGGCAGAAAAGAAACGGAGTCTCCAAAATAATCACCCACTGGTCACTTTGTAGATGACTTGATTACCCCTCCTTTCAGCACACTCTTGTTTTATTCATCTCTATTTGTCAATTTACATGAAATAATGTAACAGTCTAAGAAAAAAAGTCAGACTAGATAAAAGGAAAGGGCTGTGGCTCTGGCTGCAGCCCAGTGGAATCTTGCATGGCAATTGTGATGCCCTGGTTTCTTCCCAGCCCTACAGTAAAGGCAAAACTAATCACCTGAGCATGTTTTGTCAACTTTTACCCAAATCATGAGCACTAGTTGCTGAAAACTAGGAATTTAGATACTTAAAAACACTGCTGCCTGTGGGCAGGAGAAAGTAGAAGGAAAGAGACAAACATGAAACCTCTGTCAAAGTGGTCTTAACTCAGGGGGAGAAATCTGAATATAACACTATGGACAAATTTCTATTTTAAATATTGCAAAGACAAACAAAGGTGGACACACTTTAATAAAACTATATTGACAGCTCTTGCCTTTAGGTGAATAGACTCCCTGAGATAATTCATTATCAAAAATTGGAGTAATCAATAATGTGGCAAATCAGTCAACTGAGACAAATTTCTCTCAATATTGGGAAAGGTGATCCATGTGTCCTTCTTAAGGTCCTCCTTGCTAGCTAGCTTCTCCGGAGCTGTGGGTTGTAGTCTGGTTATCTTTTGCTTTCACCCTGGGAAGGGGAAATAGATGAGATTTCCATGAGTAAATTGAGGGTGAGGGAGGGCAATAAAGGGTAGGGGATGGGGAATGAACATAAGGGAACAGGATGGTCAAGCTGGAACAAGGATGGAGTGGGTGAGCAATGAAAGAGATACTATGATAGAGGAAGACATCATGGGGATAGGGAGAAATCTGGTGCTAGGGAAATTCCCAAGAATCCACAAGGATTACTCTAGCTTAGACTACTACCAGTAGTGGAGAGGGTGCCTGAACTGGTTTACACAAGTAATCAGATCAGTGAATACCCTAACTGTCATCATAGAGCCTTCATCCAGTAACTGATGGAAGCAGATGCAGAGATCCACAGCCAAGCACCAGGCAGACCTCCAGGAGTCCAGTCGAAGAGAGGGAAGAGGGATTCTATGAGCAAGGGGCATCAAGATCACCATGGGAAAACCTACAGAGACAACCAAACCAACCTAGTGGGAACTCAGGAACTTTAGACCAACAGCTGTGGAGCCTGCATGGGACTGGACTAGGCCCTCTGCATAAGCAAAACAGTTGTGTAGTTTGATCCACTTAAGGGGCCCCATAGCAGTATGATCAGGATTCATCCTTGGTATAAGAGCTGGCTTTTTTGGAAGCCCATTTCCTATTATGGAACACCAGGCACAGTCTTGATGCAGGGAAAGGGGTTTGGACCTGCCTCAGCTGAATATACCAGGCCCTGCTGACTCCCCATGGGTGGCCTTATCTTGTTGGAGGAGGGAATAAGGGTTGGGTTAGGGTGGAGTCTAGGGGAGATAGGAGGAGGGAAGAGAGGGGGATCTTGGTTGGTATATAAAAATGAGTGAAAATTTTCTTAATAAATAAACTAAAAAAGAAAAAAGATTGGGAAGGGACTCACTGAGAAAGCAAGTGAACTGGAAATAGGAACTTACGCATCCCCTCCTCAAGTCAGACTAGAAACAGGCAAGTGACATCCATGTTAAGCCTAGACCAAGGTGTATTTCTGTAGAGAGAAAGAAATAGGGCATAACTCTAAACATATAGAGATTATGGGGTGTTAAGTGAGAACCAGAGGGAACTTTGACACCAAGAATCAAAGCTGCCTTAGATTCTCAGACCTTCTTGTTAACAGCTGCAGCTCCCCAGAGAATCACCTGCAGTTGAGATCCACCTATATCAGAGGTGAACCCATGCCACCATCAGCCTTACAACAACTCTTTGAGAGGCATCTCCCCAACAACGTGGATTCTTCACTGCTCCTTTATCCACATGGAGTGCTTTGAGTTTTCAGTTCCACCATCATTCTTACGTTCTTTCTATTATTTTCCCTCAATCTCCAAACTTCTACACTTCGAAGGTCCAGATGTTTGGAAAACTCTTACTAGACATGGCTCTTTTTAACCCCCAGGAATGTATCTTTCCTATAAATAGCTTTCCAAGACATCCCTTTGGGACATTTTCCTCTTTAAAATAATTCATATGGTAGTGGCTAAGGTATATGTGTTCATGTATATGCACTTAAATAAAATAATCAAAAATGTGTTAAACTTGCACTTATGTAGTTAAAAAAAAGTGACTAGAAAGTTCATTTGTATAATTGTAGTACTTTAATGTAATCGATTTTAAAAGTTCATACTATAAAAATTATATTCTTGAGAAGAATTAAAAAATGCAGAAAAGCACACAATTTTGGCAAGTCCAAAGGAAAAAGTTACAATTATAATACTGATAAAATTCACATGATAATAAAAATAGTTTAGTTCTTCATAAACAGATAAAAAAAAAAGCCAAGAGAACATTGCAGATAGCTCACAGTAAGACTTGTGTATTTAGAAACATCCTACAGTAAAGTTGGTGCCATGAATCAATGAGGAGACAGATTGATTCATAGATATTTAGAAAATACTTACTAGATGGAGGAAAATTTTTCTGTTATTCATTTCAAAGACAAGTGTGAATGATATAAAAATAATTAAACATAAAAGACACAAACCAATAAATATAGCATATGATATAAATGATCTCAAAGATAGAAATCACACTATTATCTTAATAGATGCAAAAAGGGCCTTTAATAAAATCCAATATCTTTTAAACAATAAAAGCCCTGGAAAGAAAAAGACAAAAAAGAACATAACATAAGAAAAGTAGCAAAATCGGTTGGCTACATCAAACTAAATTGAGAAAACTTTAAAGCATTCCCATTAAACTCAGGAGCAAGACATGTCTGTCTACACTCTCCATGCCCATTCAATAGAACATTTGAAATCTTAGAACAATGAGACAAGAGCATGTGGCCAGTGAGATAGCTCAGCAGGTAAAGTGGGTTGGTGCAAAGTCTAACAACCTGATTGGACAGAAATCACTCAAACAAGTGTAAGTGCTTCCACACAGGTGCCACAGCACTCACACACAAGCACACATGCATGAATGTGTCATGCATGCATGTATGTAAGTGCATAGGTAAAATAAACAAATGTTGAAAAAATAAAAGATGAAAGAAGGAAATACCAGGGAAAAAATAAAGAAAAGAAGTCAAAGAATCCCTGTGTGCTATGCATATGGGATCCCAAAGACTCCTACACAAAACTCCTAAAACTTATAAACACTTTCAGAAATTACAAAATAAAATTAATATACAAAAATTAACTGCCATAATCTCCAAATTTACTAGGAAAGAAATGAGAGAAAATACTCCAATCACAAAAGACGGCAATTCAAATGAAATATCGTGGAATAAACCTAGCCAAGGGAGTGAAAGATATCTGTAATACAAATATTAAAATTCTGAGGACATAAACTGAATCAAAATGTATAAAAAGCCATATAAAAAGCTACTACTTAATAAGATCACTGAAAAAAATTAAGAAAAGATCTTGAAAGGAATGACTCTGATTGGGCATTCAACACTGCTTCCAGATGTGATAGATTTTCATACAAAATCCAAATGCCAAGTAAGTAATAACCCCCGTATGTAGTGGCTCCCAAATAATTCAGACTGTTGACATCATGGCTGGGAACACAACCATCTAAGACTCTAGCTCTAGAGGATCCAACAACTTCTTCTAACCTTTACAGTTATCCAGCATGTATGTGATGTACACACAGTGAAGACACATATACATAAGTGCCATCAAAATGCATATACATATATATGTGTATATGCATATATATATAATAACTAATTATTAAAAAAGTTACTCATGAAACAAACTTTCATAAATACAATTTCAAATTATGGTTCATAAATTAATCTTGTTACATAGCTGAAAGAATGAACACAAAAAATGTCACAAATGAGTTAACAGTTTGTACATGTTCTTGCCACAAAGAAAAGCCTAGTGTAGGAACCACTCTACCATTACTTCATTCTGTGATGGACAAAAAGGAGTGGATTCTTGGAAATAGAAACACAGAAAACAAGGGGGCACCAGTACAAAGCTTCACAATCAACCAGGTTACTGTCATGGGCTTCAACCTATTGAAGCCTTCAAAGGAGAGGTCAAAATAATACAGACAAGTCAGTTTTCATGATTAATTTTGTATCAATATAGCAGGGTTCATGTTACCCAGATATTTACTTAATTACTTCTAAGTGTGCTTTGCAGTGAGATAAACATTTGTTTAAATAGATTGAAGAGAGTAAATTATCTTCTAAATGTTGGTGGCTCTCATGTAACTTAAAAATATGAATGAAATAAAAGCTTGACTTTCCTAAGAGAACCTTTTTTTTTATTTTTGGTTTTTCAAGACAGGGTTTCTCTGTGTAGTTTTGGTGCCTGTCCAGGATCTTGCTCTGTAGAGCAGGCTGGCTTCAAACTCACAGAGATCCTCCTGACTCTGCCTCCCAAGTGCTGGGATTAAAGGTGTGTGCCACCACCACCCGGCTCCTAAGAGAACTTCTGCCTCACATTTGAACTAAGGCAAGGGCCTAAAATATTGGCTCTTGTTGGTTTCTAGTCTGATACCTTTCTATTTACAATCACAGTGTTAATTCTCCCAGTTCCCAGGCCTTCCAAGTTGGACTGGAATGGTTGAACTCTCTTGTGTCTATAGTTCTCCAACTCACCTGAAGTATTTTAGGACTTAGCAGTCATCAAAACTGCAGTAGTTAATCCTTATATATACACATCTAATATCTATGAATTCTGTTTAGATAAAATCTGATTAATAAGGATTTTTGTAGGAAAAAATGGTTCTTGAGACTATTTTTACCAAATATTTTAAATAATACATAAATGTGGTGATAGATTGTATACTGTAATAAACTTGCCTGAGGGTCAGAGGACAGATCCAGCCACTAGATTAGACACAGAGCCAGGCAGTGGTGGCACACACCTTTAATCCCAGCACTTGAGATCTCATGCCTTTTCTTGGGAAACACACACACCTTTAATCCCAGAAAGTAATATGGTGGGACAGAGAAAAGTACATAAGGCATGAAGAAACAGGAACTCACTCTCTTTAGTCTGAGGATTTTGTAGAGGTAAGAACTAGTGGCTGGCTGTTCTGCCTCTCTGATCTTTCAGCTTTCACTCTGGCTCTGTGTGTTTTTTATCAAAAGACCATCTAAGATTTGAACAACATCTGGCATCCAACAGGACACAAAAATGCACACACTAATAGGAATATGATATTTTATGGATGTTATGAGGGTTAATACTCATTGTCAACTATACATTATCTAAAATCACCCAGAAGGAAGACCTCTAGATATGTCTCTGAGAAGGGACTGGACTGGATTAGCTGAAGTAGAAACACCCTCCCTAAATGTCAGCACCCCCATTCTCCTACACTGAGTAAATAGGAGGAAGAAGTGAAGGATCAGTACTCCTGTCTCTCTGCTTTTGCATGTGATTGCAGTGTGACCTGCTACCTTGCTTTCTCCAGGACAATGAAATGTGTCCCCATAACTATAAGCCAAAAGGAACCCTTTCTTCTGTTAACTGATTTTGGCAGAATCTTTATCATATCAACAATACAAGTAACCAACACACATGCAAAAGTCATGTATTATATGAGTCACATTAACTTAACCTACTAAAATATTCATTGCTTCTCTATGGAGAAACTTTCAAACTTCTTTCTTCAAGCTTCCAAAATGTACAATTCTTGAGTGCTGTTTATCAATAGATACTTTAAGGACAAGTATTCTGAACAGATTCTTGGGTTTCTAGGACTGACTGCCCAATGTGATTAGATTTAAAGTTGCTAATTGCTCTATTTCTCATAGTAAACAAGGAGCTGATACTGGACAGTATTTTCTTGCACTAAAGAGATAAGAGACTACCATTAGACTTACTGCTTTGTCCCAGCCCCCAATGCCCCCTGTTAGCCCAAGACCATTCTTACCAGGGAAACAGGCTGACTGCAGTTCTTCACCTTACCTGTTCTTCCAGGCTCATCTCCAGATCTGTAGGAGATCATCTGCTGTGATCTCCATTTCCCATCCAATCCCACCCACAAAAGATCACAAAGATCTTCTCCTTCAACCTTTCTTCACTCAGCTGATTCCATTACCCCAGTCTCCAACACCAGCAAGCATTCCTGGCAAACACACCAGTTAAGCAAGCCAGGGAAACAAATCTAATTCTGAGCCTCATCTACAGCACTATAGCAAACCTTCTGGGGTGACCTCACTTCACTGTCTATCCCCATTCTAAAGAGACAAAATAAGCAAATCCTGGTGGAAGACTCTTCTCTCCTCCCCCCTGTGAACCCCATCAGACTCTTAGTCTATCCCTATACCTAAGAGTCAGCTCCTAATACCCAAATTCACATTTTACCTGGAACCCCCAACAGATGATGTCCTACAGATCTGGGGATAAGACTAGAAGAACAGGTGAGGTAAAGATCTGCAGTCAGCCTAACTGTTTCCCTGGTAAGAATGACCACACTTATCACATCCACAGAAAATTTCTTACCAGGAAACACACAGCCATTATACTCTCCTAAAATCCATACAGCAAACAGAAAACAAGAAACAAAATACCCAACAAAGAC